GTACCGTGCAATTTCCAAGTTTTTAAATTACGATAAAATGATAAGTATTGACACAATATGTGATTGGGCTGACACAAAGCCTCGGAAAGGAAATTTCGTTGAAGCTGAGCGTGTTTTTAATGCCAATCACATTATAAAATTCGGAAATAAGAAATCCGGAAGCTAGCCTTCAAATTCCGTCAAGTTTACTGCCTACTTTTTACAAACTTCGGATTTAAAAAGTGATTCACGTTATATAATTGGTGATTTAAGCAATATCATATCAATGACTTGCACGTGCAAAGCCGATTTAAGAGAACGTTGCAGATACATTATTGCAACTTTGTTGTATTGCAGCAGGTAGATTCTTAACCTCAAAATACTTAATTAAAATTGTGTTAAATCAATTACATAGGAATAAATAATTTCTCACTTTATAATTTTAGTATGATTCTAGTTTTAAATATTAAGGTTATGGCTGATGGTAAATAAATGACGTGAACAAATTTTTATTTTGGAATTCATTTTTTTGATACCTTCTGCTTTCATCCAAGCTTCTATTAGTTTAATTTTTTCTCTAACTTCGTCGACTCCATCATCAAAAAAATGTTTACTTTTTTAACGTGTATAATTATTTTAATAAACAATTTTACAATTTGCGTGCATAGTCCCTATGTAAATTTTTCCCTCATTCAAGTTATAAATTTTGCTACCAGATGGTGTATGCCCATTTGACTGATCCCAATAGCAAGGAATTATTTAATAGCCCCTAAAGGAAACATTAATTAAATTAGACATGATTCGACACAATTTTCTAAAGATATTCGTTATTTTCGTAGCCATGCTTGGTATTAATTTTGAAACGATGATCTTAAACAAGCGTGTCTTAAAGAATCAATCGAGATTCTTGCAAAAGTGTTTTTCATAGCCAATATAGGACAGATACGATTAACTCTTGGTCGAAGCTATGAAAATCATAGTTTTATAGTAGGATTTTATCATCATCATCATCATCATAAGGTCATCAGTCCTAAGACTGGTTGGACACGTACCTCCACTCTTTCCTATCCTGAGCTAAACTTCGCATTTCCCTAAAACTAGAACANAACCGTAGAGAGATGAGCCCAAGCTACTAATTTTTAACGCATCGAAACAAAATTTCCCATCAAAATTATAAAATCCCGCTTTTATTGTTTTAAATTAATATTTATTAATAAGATTAAATAAACCATTGATTTTCATTTCATCACTTACATAACTTACTTTTCTATCCCAGAATTGAATTTTGATTGTTCTGATTCTAAACGGGGATGGGTCCGAACCCGATCCCAGTCCCCCGTAAATCCGCCTACATCTTTATAAAAATTTTTAAAAAAAAATTAATTCCTAGCAATGTAATAACACGCATTTCGCAACATAACGAATCATAATGCTGTTGACCAAATTTTTATGTTTATATAATTTAAAATAGAGTGAGAATCGTTTGTAATACCTATAATACAGCATCACAGCGATGACGAAAGGGGAGAGAAGAAGGAGGGGGTTTGGAAAAGCTTCCTACTGATGGGAGTAGGTGTAGAATTCCAAAATCAAAAAATTAAATGTATTGCATTCAATTTTGATGTTTTTCATATATATTTAGTATTCATTTAAAACAAAATATCATAACACTATCTCAGTTTATCTATATTTATTTTTATTGCTGTTCTTTAGGGTTCCGTAAGCCGGAATGAAAAACGGAACCCTTACAGAATTACTCTGTCCGTCTGTCACAGTCGAATCTACTTGACGATTAAGTTAAAATTTAGTACACATATGAATTTCTGTGACCCAAACACGGACGCATAACGTAAATAAATTAATTTTAAACATGGAAATCATTTTTGAGGGGGCCAATAAGAAATTAAAAAAAAAAGTTTTGCAAACTGCACCGTGTGACGTATCAAATAAAAGATCTTGTTTTAAGGATCTTAAATATATTTGTTTTATAATTTTAAAAAAAATAGTTTTAATGTTATTTAACCAAATAAATGAAAATTGACCATTGCCCACCTTTATCTCTGAAACTACTGAACCCAAAATTTTGAAAAAAATGCAGAAAATAGTTCATTACTTATAGATTAGAGGAAAATTAATAAGACGCCTATGGTCTGAACATAACTTGATAAATAGTAAAATTGTAGTTCGAATGGATGGGAGAACACGGTTTTTCAACTACAATGTTAAGTTGGTTCCCGGGTTAGGGTTCCGTACGTTCGAATGAAAAAGAGAACCCTTATAGGATCACTACTGCGTCTCTCTGTCCGTTTTTTTTTTGGTTTCCGTAATTACGGAGTTTTCCCTACCACCTGCTTGCCTTCTCTTAGTGTTAGTGTCGTTAAAGCATAATTAATAATAATAATAATAATTTTCCCAGTTTTTCTTATCAACCAACCATTTTCGTTATTGGTTTACATTTTTATGAAATATTGATGGTGGAAAGTGGAGTAGACATTTATGCATAATTTTTAGGTCAGATATAATTCGTGCGTGAAGGAAAAACGGAGGGGATTGAAACTAGCAGAATAAAACAAAGAGGGTGATTTGTGTAAATATTTTTTTGCACGAAGCAAAATACTTTCCGGCAATTCCCCAAAACTTTCTTATTAGCCATAAAATATACCGAGATACCCCTTTTAGTCGATAACGACTTCTATAGTACGAATGTATACATAATGTAGTAGTTGACGAAGTGGAGAGAATATGCGTGTGAAAGTTTAATAAAAATCGATTTACGAAAGCATTGCCAAGAAAAACCTACCTACGGGTCAGTTTTCTTATGAGTCATACCTTTTCCTTATATACTTTACACATTGTCCATAGCATGTATGAGCTACGGCAATAAAATTACACCACTATAAATTGACTGCATACTTTGTAATTAATTTCTAACTTGATGGTTTCGATTTATATCGCTTAATAATGTGATCAAATAAAAACTTTTCTGCTAATTACAAATCATTATTTGTAGTCCGAATTCTTTTATTATAAAAAATTCCTTACTTTCTCATTATAGTTTCGGGAGCACTCAATCTTCTTCGTAGAAAAACCGGTGATGGTATAGAATTTGGTTTTGGGCTAAGTTTTTCTTCCATTTTTCTATTCACTGATCTATAAAAGAAAAACAGAAATGTTTACTTTGACTTCGTGCTTTTGATTTTTAATCAATGTGGAGGCTTATATGATTCTTTTGCTGATTAATTATTTCCAGAAGATTCAGTATTATGCTGTTGAATCAATTCTTGTTATTTTTTCGATTCATTAAATTGTAGCTCTTTGCTATGAAAAAGCAAATGGCCAAAATGCACTTTGTTAACTTTTCTGAGTCTATTTTTAAACTCTTCTTAGAAGGGGCTACATTTGAAACAAGATATAGTATCCCAAAATATCATTTGCGACTACGTTAGAAATTAATACTATCCTGAATGCTTTAGCAACTGTCGCATTAATGTCTTTCTTAAGACACCGAAAAATTTGGTTATTTTTGTCACTGTAATACAAAATTTTTATCCAAATCTGGAAAATCAGCTAAAGATATACTGAAATAGTGAGAAATTAAATTATTTGTTGCATTTACATGTATGTATGTACTTGCACATGTAATTTATTTGTTTGTAGTTAATTATTTTAAGAAATAATATTGAAAAAAATTCAAAATTATTACCATAATAAAACCCGCACTTAATTAAAAAATGTTGACTTACCTGCTATTTGTTTCTTCAACCCAGACTTGTTGAATTGTGTCCAGAATTTCTTGCAGACTAAGCAATCTCCTTTTGGACTTTTCTCTGTCTGAATTACCAAAATAGTCACATACTAGACAAAGCAGTAGGTATGTTAAAGAAGAAATTTGAATAATGTTGATAAAATGCTGAGTCTTTAGAAATGAAGTAATGTACTAGGTCGATATTTTGTAAATATGTTTGTACTTACTACAATACTGTGCTTGTAAAGGTTTTGTACATACTCATCTAAATAAGCTGATTTATATGCACTTTAGGACATATTTTATTTAATATATTAATTCAATTTTATAGTTTTTGTTGTTATAATATAATAAAAATATATTTATAAGAAGCACTGCAGATTACATTACATTTACATATTTTTAGTGGGGCATTATTATAAATAATGCATGATAAGTAGATATAGCAAAATGTACTATTGATTAAAAATAATTTTTGTCATACAAGAAAAACAGAAAACAATTCAACGATACTGTAAAATACTGTCTTAAACTATTTGGTTTTGGCGTCATGTAAGTAATATTTTCGTAAGTTTTTATTAATATTTTCTTGTTATTGCTTAGCATTAAACAACTTCATTGTATTTATTTTAATTATTGTGCACTTTTCAAAATAGTTTTCTTAACATTACCGAAAATATTCAATACAGAGTATAGAAAATAATTTAAAAACAGTATAAATCGATTATATCGTTGACGACATCGGAAACATTTAAATAATAATAAATCGATTTTTCAAAAAATTAGCAGCGTGAATAATTATTTAAGCTTGTAAGTTTTACATACCTGTTAACAGGCTAAGGAGGGTATTATTAGAGTTTTGTTCAAGAGAATGTTTGAACCGACTGCTTGTTCGCGGGATATGAGAGGCACCGCGACGCCACTGAGGCGTCAACAACGTCGGTTTGCTACGACAGTAAGGCCGAACTGAATACGGCGGGGATAGCGAATATACACATAGCGGCGGTTTCTCAACCTAAAATTCTTTATTTGTATTTTCCATTGCTAAAACTACGTCATTAGTAAATTCCACCCCAATACTGTTACATATACATCTATCTATACATTAGGGTGGTCCTTATCAAGGTCTTCCTTATTAGGGTTCCGTACATCCGAATGAAATACGGAACCCTGTGTCACACTCAATTTGTTCCGAATCTACTGGACCGATTAATTAGAAATTTACTACACATACGAATTTCTGTGACTCAAACACGGACGCATAACGTAAATAAATTAATTTTAAACATGGAAATCATTTTTGAGGGGGCCAATAAGAAATTAAAAAAAAAGTTTTGTAAACTGTACCGTGTGACATATCAAATAAAAGAGCTTGTTGTAAGGGTCTCCAATATATTTTTTTTATAATTTTAAAANGTAAAACCGATAAGGTTTATAATATAATTAAAAGGAATTTTAGAGAAGTAGGGTACAGTAGTAATAATATAGGAAATCGAGGCAGGGGTCATTTTTATAGAAAATCAAGAAAAGACAGATAGGTGGAAAGTATATTTAGAGAACCTATACGCAGGTCATGAGTTAAGAGATATATTAGAGAAGGAATATAGTGTGGAGATAGGGAAGCTTAGGTTATCCCATAACGAAAAAAGAGTTCGATGTAGCATTAAAAAACTTAAAGAATAATAAAACGTCAGGTATAGATAGGATACAGGCGGAAATTACAATTTACGAGACGGGGAAAGTCCCAGAGGATTATAAACGGAACGTGGTAGTAACCATACCTAAAAGGAGAGGCACAGATAGGTGCGAGACATTTAGAACAATTAGCTTAACTTTCCATGCGTCAAAAATCTTCAGTAGAATTGTACAGAGGAGGATGGAAAAAAAGGCGGAAGAACTATTAGGGGAAGATAAATTTGGCTCTAGAAGAAATAGAGGAACGCGGGAGGCCATTCTAGCATTAAGGGTAACAATAGAGAAAACGATAGAAAAAGGAAATAATGCATACATAGGATTTGTAGATTTAGAAAACGCTTTTGACAATGTTAATTGGGACAAGATGTTAAATATACTTAAAAAAGTAGGGATGAGTTACAGAGATAGAAGAGTGATACTTATTTGTATAAAAAGCAACAGCCAGTTACAGAGCTGGATCTGCAACGTAGAGAAGTAGATATTCGCATTTAGCCTTTGAAAGCACACACAGTATCCAAATAGTGTATTTAGATGCCCAAGTATCCAACTCTGCCTCCTTTCTACCTATCTTAATCACACATCCTATTTAGGTACCTAGACCCTTATTAGGTAATTTTAAATTTAATTAAATATACCTCTATTTTCTGTATATATCTCAGGTCTTGTCTTTTTACCATATTACCTATTTTTTCCCCAATTTGCATACCATCTAACGTCATATCCCTAAATGCCTTTCCCTCTCCTCGTCATACCTAGTATTTATACCAATTTGTGATATTCTTTTTCTTTATATTTCCTTTCCTTTATCCTCATTCTCCAACCCTTTCTATTTTTCTTCATATTTTATTATTCTATCATAATATGCGGGTGTGTGTGGGTGAACAATATTTTTTCACAGAAATTATTTTTTTTGTTTGCACTTCCATAATTTTTTTGAACAATTCTATTAATAAATAAATACAGGGTAGCGTGTTTAAAACTTTCCACTTTTTTTTTCGGAAATCCCTGAAACAGGCCGATTTTGCCTTCTTTTGATTGATAAATTCATGGATGTAAGGTCATACTTCTCAACGGGGTGACAACCCCTTAAAAATCTCAAATGACATTAAATGTGTGTATTTCGATTCTATTTACAAACATGGTATTGTTGTATGCTATACTTAACGTGAAAACGAATAAGTGGGAAATGTAGATATAATTAAATAAAAAAAGTTCTCAAACAAGTTTTAATTGAATAAATGTTCAAATTGAAAGCAATTCACTTCCATACAGTAATAAAATTTTTGTTCAACATTCTCTCAAATTTTCAAATTTCAAGATCATCGCAAGCAGTAAACTACGATACTTTGGATAAGTTTGCTTCAAAATTGCTCAAAAATATCAAATTAGCAACCACTACTTTCTAGATAATTCTAATAGTAAAATAAAAAAATGCCCAACAACACTAATAATGCGCTAACAATTAAAAATCATAATGGCCAAAGTTTATTTAATTGACATTTAACAGGGGGTTGCCATTTAAAATTCTTGAAGAGGTTAACGCCCTTACATGAATTTACAATCAAAGGATCCCCTTGAAGGCAAAATCGACCAGTTTTTAGGGATTTTCAAAAAAACATGCAGTAGAGAGCTTTCTAGATGGAAAAGCTTTTTAATCAAAATTTATTAATAAATCAGTTTTATAATATAAATCGAATAGTATTAGTATGTATTATTTTTTTTTGTTTAAAACTTAGGTCCTGTGGGAGGTCGGGTTAATATTAATATAAATTAGAGTGTGACAAATTAATTTTGTATATACTTCGCAAACTTTAAATGGCTTAGCGGATAAAAAGGACCACCGTAATAGTCATCAGTACAATTTACTAATTGATTAAACTCCTAATTATTCCAGTAATGCATTTGAGACAATAATTTTAATTTTCTTACATACGATTAATACAAAATATAAACTATTTGAGAGTTAAATAATGTTTCAATAATTAGCTACTATGTTTAAATGAATCGAATTATGATTATTTGCAGAATATATTGATGTATTGGTTGTAAAACGTTAATTTATATTTAATTTTCAAAGGTAATCCAATAATTTATGGAATAATTTTTAGATAAACTACAAATTCGTAAAAAAGAAATAATCTGTTTTAGAATTAAAATAAATACAAAGGGCCAATTAAGCTGGAAACATTTATTTCAAAGCTTTTTGTCATGTTTTGCGATTGATTTACGTAATTCATTCATATTCTGAAACTCATGAAGTATCTTGGCTTCATATGTATGTATATATAATATATTTTAATTATGTTTGCGTAATAATAATCTTTTTGTAAACAGTTTAATCTAATTGTAAGGTGTAGCCTTAAAAAATACGTTACTGTATAGTCTATAACTTAGCAATTTTTAATTACTTATTTCATATACATATATCACCTCACGCAACTCTTCCTTGTCGAAACTTTTCATAATTTATGAAACACCGAATAACAAAAACAAAAACTGAGCATTATACACGGTACCGAAGTTTTTGAAATAACTGATTTTGGACAGAATTTTGTCTAAACTATGTGCGCTACAACTTCGTAACAGGCGGTACTTTGACATGATTTCGTTATATAGGTGAAATCAATAAATCTATTCTTGCCAAAGGAAATTGTTTCTGTATTAATTACAGCCATCCATTGTAAGAAGCAATTTACAAAATCTTAGATACGTAAACAGTTTTATAAAGCATTGCATGAGTGACCAATTAAAACGTACATCAAATTTTAGTTGCTAGCATAGGTATTAGCGGCATTTTTATATATGTACATGATAGCCGTTTAAAATTCACTAATATTATCTAAATTATAACATAACAAATCATTATTTTATTCGAATATATTGTCATCCAAAATTATGGTAAAATACTAAAAAAAATACTTAGTTCGTAATTTCGAAATTGCGTTAAATTCTCGATCATCATCATCATAAGGTCGTCAGTCCTAGGACTGGTTGGACACGCACCTCCACTCTTTCCTATCCTGAGCTAATCTTCGCATTTCCCCAAAACTAGAACAACCCACATCCTTAACTATTTGTGAACAGTAATCTAATCTAGGCCTACCTCTACCCCTCCTAACTCCCGTTTCTGTGTCTAATATGTCTCTGACTAGACCTTCATGCCTGAGAAGGTGTCTCGTCTATGTTTTATTGACTTCCATAGAGTCCTCTGTTCTCTTACTCTTTCTAATACCTCTTCATTTCTAACCTTTTCTACCCACGGTATCCTCATCATTCGTCTGTAACACCACATTTCAAACGCTTCCAACCTTTTTCTTTTCCGCAACGCCCACCGTCCATGTTTCGAACCCGTACAGCGCCGCGCTCCAAACATACACCCTCATTTGAGTTCGCTTTGTTTTTCCTGGGATATCATAATGTGGAGGTTTCCCGTTGCCTTCCACATCGCAGTATTTTGCATCAGAATGCCATACCGATCCACATGATCCCTACCACCCTGAGTACTGAAAGAGCTGCTGCCCGAAACCGAAAATTTGTTGTATGTATTTCTATGCCTCGTTCATTTTCAAATTTCGAGAATTTTCAGATTTTGAGTGTGTTGGATCATCTAAATTCTCGAACTTTTTATTTAATTTTTGATTTTGTAAGGAATATGTATAGTTTGTTGTTATCATTATAGCATGTAGCATTGCTATAAAAAATTCTTACGTGGTTTATAACAAATACTATTACAGAAAAAGAAATAAATGGTAACTTGAAAAATGGCGAAGATGTCGGGTATTTAATTTTACTTTTTTTCACATAAACACCAAATTATAGCAAGTACTGGAGGATGAAAGTTTTAACATTTCTGAGCAATGACAAAGGTATATACTTTCTCGCAAAATGTCGAAAAACTACTAATTTTAAAACAAATTTTAATTTAAAATATGGTGAAGGCGCCGGGGCATTTAATTTAATTCCATCTTATTTAATAATTTATTATGTACAGTACATATATCCTAGCTTAATATTTAATCACTTCACCATTCTTAATGCATTTACAAATATTACGATCATGATTATTACTAAATATTAAAATATGTATATATTTCTTTCGACAAAACATCACCTAATAACATGAATAATACCTGGTCCCTGTTTTTTTGATTTAAATAAACGATACTGGGTTTTGGTTAAGTTTTTAATGTGAAAATGCATGTATTAAGAAATGGTTGATTTGCATTATGTTCAAAAATTCGCGCCATTACTTGTGACAATTGTATGATTGGTATACAGATGCCGCTCTACACAAAGATTATACCGGGTCTTCTTCGCTCTCTATACTTCTCTGCCGAAATATATAGATAAAAAATATATATTTAGTTTAATTTTGGGTAAGAAAAATTTAGAATACTAATTGGGCGTGTTTGGTTAATGTAAATATTTACTTAGTCAGTCATTCACAATCAGCATAAAAAAAATTGAAATCTTAGTTCCTGAGTAATGCGCTTTCTGACCAGGACAGACTTACTGACCAATCATAACAGGAAAGTAAACAATTTTATAGGACATATTTAAAGAATTACATGTATAGATACATAAATAATAAAGCGGTATTTTGCTCGTCGATACTAAGAGAGCCTTCTCAAAATTCAAAAAGTATGTCGAGTGCTAAAATTTAGTAACAACGTACTTCTGTTAAACATGTCCTTCTAGTAACAACTATTCTGCCTTTTTAGAAAGACTGAAGTGTCAGTGACGGTAGTTTTCTAAATTGGTCTTGCTTCTTTGTATTTGCTAATTATAAACAGAAAACTCACAATGTTTAAAAGTAATATTTGAAAAGATTAATTAACAATTAATTACTTTGCCCGCCTAAAGATAAAATAAGATTTCTGTTCTAAAAAAAAAACACATTTGGTTTTTATCAAAAGATATCTATTGAATTATTTACAGACTTTATAATACAGTGAAGCTAGGCCACAACATCAACTTCACATTGCATGCCACAGCCTTGTTTAAATAAACTCAGGTTTATATTCTGAAAAATATAAAAATCTGGTAATCAAATGCAATCGATCTATTCACCAACATCACCTTCAACTACAATCGGGAATATCACTGTCATAGACAACACACAAATTAAATTAATATAACTAACTGTACACTTGTCCACTTTTGTCTTTTTATTTGTTTTGTTCTCTTGTACAGTACTTTGAATGGATAAAAATTTCCATCACTTAACAATAACGATCTTATTAAGGTTGTCTCCGATCATACTCTCGCCTGTAGTCTCTTTCTGGCCTCCATTCACCCGGAGAAAATCTATCCCTGGGAAACGGTTGATCTCCAGGGGCGTACATAGGGCCGCCAGGAACAAATGGAGGATAATGCGTAGGATACATGGGCCTAGCACTAATTGGGATGACTGAAGCATCACGACTACGTTGAAAAGACCGCCAATCATCCTTACACGGTAATCTGTAAATTAAGATTTCAATAATATTCACAATAATTATCAACTGCAATCGGTCATCGAACCTTTTGTCAATCGGTCTTGTATGGTCACGGTCTCTATGGTAGCCTGGATTTCCTCGGGAATAATCAAATCTATCCCTTTTGTAATCCATAGCAAACCTATCACGAGATTGCCCCCCAGACCATCGGTCGTGATCACTATGAGATGCTCTTTCTGGCTGATCATGTCTAAAGTTTGATCTCTGGCCTGAACTCTGTTTTCTACTCATACGACTTTGACTGTATCTACTAGCATAATCGTGACTTTCATCGTCATTTTCTTCCCTTGATTTTTTTGGACGATCTTTTTCTGAGCTTCTATCTTTTCTTTCTCTCCTACTAGTTAATGATATTGTTTAACACATTTAAAAATAATGATTCAATGTAGTTATGTACCTTTCCGAATGATGTTTTTTAAAGTCCTTATCATCTCTACTATCACTTTCATTCTCATGTTTTCTTTTAATATTCATTTCTTTGTCTTCTTTACCATCAGACTTGTCTTTTCCAGATGAACTTGCACCTTGTTGACTCTATAAAAAATATATATAATAGCATTATAAAGAAAAATTGCCTGTATGTATAAATAATATTTTACTTACATCCTCTTTTTTCTTTTCATTCTTCTTACATGCTTTTTTATACAGTTTATATAACTTTTTGGCATCGAATTCGGTAAATTTAGACACAAAATGCCATAAGTTGCTAAAATAAAAATTAACATAAGATTATTGCTAGATTGACTGATTGATTAATATGATAGCAAACTGGTACTATTTTCGTTCAAGTTATCAAAACATGAAAACAATACCTACCTTCTCCATTCTTTAAGTTTTTCAGGATCGGTATAATTTGCTAAACAAACATTTATTTGTTCCCCTATTTGTAATAAGCATAACATTGTATGATTAACTTGCTCTGCTTCAGAGAGAGATTGGTCGGGATTGTCAAGAGCTTTCAATGCCTTTTTAACTGGTCTCATCATTTCTTTACACTAAAAAAAACATCAGTACCAATTATACATAAAATATTAATATTAACTGCATTATTTCAAAAATAATATATTAATCAAAATTCTAAATGAAAATATTATTGAATTTAACGGCATTCTTTCCTACTCATATTACTGTAATTAAATACTAAATGCAAATTAGAAATTTTTATCAGTCAAGTCATAACACTATAGCTATAAATGTTATATGATTTATTTTACAAGGGTCTCACAACACGGAAGAATACTCAATCATAAACAATTGTTTCAACTAATAGAAAAAAGGAAAGCTTAAACTATTGTAATTTGTTAATGGACAAAATGATTAGAGATAATGGTTAACCACAATTACATTCTTCCAACGTTAGATACAAGGTCTCTTCGTCAAAAAAGTCAAAATTCACAATATTTTCCATATCAGAATCAGAAAGTCCTACCTCATGAAAGATAGAAGGATCTAAATCTCCCAAAACATCTAACGCTCTTGGTTCATTATTTGCTGTGAAATGCATTGGACCTGAGTTTTTATTTTTCTTCTGTTTCTTCTTGTCTTTTTTCTCCTTCATACTAGTAGATGGTAAATCTTCTTGTTCTTCTTTATCTTTCTTTGAAGCTTTCTTTGATGAAGCTGCAGCTGCTGCAATAACTGAAGTAATGCCCACAGTGTTGGAATTAGAAGCGTCATCACCAGAACTAATATCATCATGATCAATTATTTCTTTGGTAAGTGCTTTTGTTTCTCTAGCTTTTCGTATCTTTTTTGGCTTAGTTACGCCTTTCTTTATGTCCAACTGCTTTTTTAATATTTTCAGAAGATACTCGGATCTTTGTTGAAGATGTTTAGCTTGTGGTTTTTTGTCGTCGTTGAATAAAATTTTATCTCCAATTCCCAATGAAGGGTCCATCTTAATTTGTTCCCATGAACCCATTCCATATTGATAAATGCCTTGCAGTAATTTGGAATCCTCTAATGCCTCCCATTCAACATCAAAATGTGCTGGTTTTGTACGTGCGTCAAGAACCCATTTACTTCTTTCCACAGGATCAGATGGGAGCACTTCATCTAACGGTTCTAATTCTTCTTCACAAGCTGTCATAGTTTTGGCATTAACCGAAACTCCTCCGAGTTTAAAAGAAGGTCCTCGAGAACGTTTTCTTCCTTTTGCACCGACATCTTCGGTGCTTGTTTCGTTGTTTTCTTTTGTGTGCTCACCCATGTAGGCCCGACAACGTTCGTGAAGAAGTTCACCCAATTTTTTAAGTTCCGCAAGCGGTTTCTCTTGCAGTTCAGCATCACAAGCAACCGCTTCTAGTCGTTTTAAAGGATTGCTAAATTTCTTATAACTCTTTATGAATTTTCTTATATCAGCATCGGTGAAATTCTTTATTCTTTCTCGGTTGGTAAGAGGAGGTCTTCCACGTTTACGAGGTCTTTCATCGTCACTCTCTTCACCTTCTCCAGTACTTCCAGATTCTTCAGTTTTCTTTCTTTTCCTTCCTCTTCCTCCTTCCCCATCACTCTCAGATTGGTTAATCTGCTGGAGAGTTTTTCTGGATCTTGGAGGAAGATACATATCCTCCATCTCCTTATTTCTTTCTTCTTCTTCGACACGTTTTCGTAACGTTTCTGGAATAATTTCATCCCAATCTTTACTTTCTTCATCTGGTATTGCAGCTGCAGCCGGAGATGGTTCATTTTCTTCTTCAAATGCAGCAAAACTGGCTACTTTAAAAGCTGATAGTAACTCATCTCCTGCCATTGTTGGTGCTTCATCCCTTGTTTCTGCTCTTCTTAATATTTCGTCAATATCACACTAAAAAAAGATCATTCATTCACTGTCAGTCTTCATTTTACAAACAAATTCTTACATTTGGTTCTTCGTCTTTGTCCTCTTCATCTTTAAATAATTCTTCAGCCCCAAATTTTAAAATGGCCGTAAGATCTTCTTTGTTGAAAGGATTATTATTTGAAGATGCTTTCTTATCTAAAACTGTTCTCCCTGTGGTATCCATACGTTGAATAACTAAATGATCCAGTACCATCTTCTGTTTAGCACGTTCTACTATTTGTTCTTCAACTGACCTTGCTGTAACTAATCTGTAAATATTTACTTGATTCTTCTGCCCAATTCTATGCGCCCTTGCTTGAGCTTGAAGGTCATTTTGAGGATTCCAGTCAGAATCAAAAATAATGACGGTATCTGCTGTTGCTAAATTTATTCCCAAACCACCGGCACGAGTAGAAAGTAAAAAGCAAAAATCTTGAGAACCTTCAGCGTTGAAATGGTCCAAAGCTTGCTTTCGAAGTTCTCCTTTAATCCCACCATCGAGACGTTGAAATGGAAAGTGTCTTAGTTGCAGATATTCACCCAGGATGTCTAACATGCGAACCATTTGAGAGAAAATCAGAACACGGTGACCAGTCTCCTTAAGTCGAATAAGTAATTTGTCTAATAACACAAGTTTCCCGGATCCCCTTAAAAGTTGCTAAAAAATGTGTATGTAAGGTTGTTTTGCATTTTAAAGTTTTCCAGTATAGTACATACCTGCAAATGATCTTGCTGTGATACATGCGAATCATATTCAGTAGGTTTAGTAAGAAGGGCATGGTTACAACATTTCTTCAGTTCAATTACAATATTTAAAAAGGTATTTGTTGAACCTTTGACACCTTTCCTTAATGCATTATAATTCTTTGTCAATATCCATTTGTAATACTGCTTCTGTATAGAAGTCATTTCAACACGAAGAATTTGTTCTACTTTAGCTGGCAAAGACTTTTCTACATCTTTTTTAACTCTTCTAAGGATAAAGGGTTCAAGCTGTCGATGTAATTTCCCATAACCCTTTGTAGATGCATTTTCATGCTCTTTTTCAAATTCATCCCATGATTCAAATCTATAAAGAGTAAAATAAAATATTGTGTAAGCACTTGACTACTTACTTTATCATACTTTTGGGGCATTATAAAATGTAACAAGGCCCACAGTTCTTTCAAACTATTTTGTAATGGAGTTCCGGTGATAAGAAGTCGATGATTTGTATCAAACTCCATTAACGCTTTGTACAATAAGGAATCGTCATTTTTAAGTCTATGAGCTTCGTCTACTAATAATACAGCCCAGCTGATGCTACCAAGAAAGGCTTTATCTTTTAAAACAATTTCGTAAGTTGTTAATATAGCGTTAAACTTTAATCTTTTTGAGCTCTCGTAAGACCATTCGTATTGACGAATCTAAAATTAAAATATTGGTCTCAGATGAAAAATTTACTTGCGAAAAGACATACGATATCTCTGGAATTAACGTCACCCAAGTAGGTAACAAAATTCATTTCCGGGGCCCATTGAGAGAATTCTCGTTGCCACGATGTCATTGTCGATAACGGGACGACACACAAAAAAGGTCCGTAGAGTTGGTGTGTGTTGAACAAATAGTAGAGGAAACAAATGGTCTGAACAAAAAATATTTTCCATTAATAATCTAAAAAACTAGTTTGTACACACCTGACAACTTTCATTACCTGAATTGTTTTACCCAGTCCCATTTCATCAGCTAAAATAACTGAGTTTTCTTTTGACCATGAGTGAATTAACCAATTGAGACCATCCATTTGGTAATCTCGTAATACCAAACTCTACAAAATAGTATAATAAACAACTTTTTGTAGATAAATCAAAGGAAATTTAAATCTTTACGTTTTCTACTCCTGTCATGTAAGAAGGTTGTGATTTTACTTCATGAAATTTTGGCCTGTACTTAAGCGCTTTACAATGCTTGGATGGAGTTCGTTTGGAGTCTTCTCTTTCTTGGAATTCTTCTATTTTCTTGGGCCACTTTCGCTTAATTAGTCCCGAATCTTCCCATGTAGCATCAGAATATGGTAAACTTTCCCATTTTACATAATAATCAGTTCCTCCATCAGGTTTTTCATATTTGGCTAAAATGCACTAATTGAAATTTAAAAGTAATACAATTATTAAGAAGCTTACCAATTATTCTTTCTACATTTGTATAGCTTTTAAGTAACTCTTGCTGTAATTCTAGTTGACATTCATAATACTCTATGTCTTCAGGAGAGGCATGTTTTTTCCAGTAGTTAATTTCAAATTCCTTTTTAACATAATTTTCTAACTTCTTTATTCCTTTAACTTTTTGCTCTTTAAGTGAGTTATCAGATTCCCAAGTATTATGAATGTGAGCCCAATCTTTCCATTTAATCAGATACTGTATCTCCGTATTTTCCAAGTCTTCAGGATCACACCCATCATTGGGATCTCCATTTTCTTCTATTGCATATAGTGTGGTAATATTTCCTGTAACTAAATTTGCAAATTAATTTTTCAATTATAATGTTTATTTTATTATAATTATAGAACATAAAAATACAACACATATGTCCTACTAACTTCCTTTCTTTCCTTTTCTTTGGCCAAGTATTTTTTCAATAGTTTCACACTTCTCCTCACTTACAGGTTCTGCAGGTACTTCTTGTTCAACTTCTAGTAAATCATCTGTATCAGTTTTGTCTTCGCTATCTTCTTTGTAACTAACAGTATTTGTAGTTTTCCTTCTGGTTAGAGATCGCCTTTTATCGTCATCACTATCTACACTAGAATCTTCGGAGCTATAATGTGTCTTAGTATGGGTTCTTTTTGTTAGAGTACGTTTAGCTCCAACTCTTTTGCTTGGAGGTGGCCTTTCTTGTACTACATCGTCCTCAGATTCTGACGAAGTATCCTCTTCATCATCGTCATTATATTTCCATTCATCACTACAAATTAATGAAAATATAAAATATATAGACAGTTCATTCCATCTACTTTAAAATACAATCAGAAAAAAAAAAACGTTCCAATATAGAATATTACGTTTTTTTCATATTGTTGTTCATGATTATATTATTGATAATGAATAAGTAAATTGTAAATAAACCTTTTAAAATGACTCTTCTTATCATTAGATTCGCTTTCAGAAAAATTTAGTCTTGCAGGTTCTTTTCGAGCTCTTCCTGATCTTCGAATACCATAAATATCTGGGTGTTCTTCCCACTAAAGCAAAATAAGTATCAGAAACGAATTAAGACTTTTTTAGTTTGTTATACATCCTTGCTATGGCTTCTGTGCCCACTTGACTTTTTCTTTGACGAATGATTTGAGGTAGATGAGCGCGTGCTTCCTGCTTTTGATGCTCTTGATCGACTAGAGTCACTGGAGGAAGAAGTGCCTGTATCACTTTAGAACAAACATATTTTTTATATATTTATAAACATTATATCAAATTACTGTTTAAAAAAACATTCATAAATATAATTCAAACTTTCTACGGTGCATCAATTATCAGAAAAGATCAATAAAACTTTACAAATGCTTACGGTAATCTTGTGAGGACAACTTTTGGAATAAGAACAAATAACTTTTCAATATGATCAATACTTAATGTGCATCTTATAGTTTGTAGTTTCTTAGAACTTTGCGCTAAATTTCCTCGTTCTTCTGTAAATATTCTATACCTTCTAGTAATTGGCGGCATTTTAAACGAAAAACTGGATGCTTATGACAGTTACAAATTCGTATTTATTATGCGGGCAATGCAATTGTTTTAACTTTTAGAAGCAATGCCACCTTTACTAAATATTTCCAATTTCTTTATAATAGGATGCACTGAATCTCGAAATATTTGAGGTATTTAAATTTTTAGCACGGATGTTTAAAATAATAAATTAAAATAACTTCTCCGTCAATACAGAAAATCTTGGTATTTTATTTTGCCTAAATTATTTTCTATCCTCACGATAGCTAAAACTTTTCATGAATACAAAGAATCGAACCTTTTGTAAACATGTTACCATTTAAAGTAATACTTCAAATGACTAAAAATAATAAAAGAGCAAATCTCTGTCTCATGTGATTTTAAAATGTTTCCACATTTTTTTAGTCGATTTTTAAATCATAAAATTTTAAAAAAATAATTAGTATATAAATTGTTTTCTTTTTTAATAACAATACTCAAAATAATACCAGTTACATTTTCGTAAAAAATTATATAAAAAAGGTAAATCTGTTGTTAATACTCCTTTTTTTAACAGCAATTTTTAGTATAATTTAAAAAATAATGCCTACAAAATTCGTATGGACAACGTAAGTCTATATCGTGAATAAAAACTTTTTACCATTTTATTTTATTTACAAAATTTATTGTTATT